GCTCAATGGGGCAGATGTACAAGTGATATGGTTGATATGGTTAAAACAGCATTTCAAACTCATAGATTGCCTCATGATTTGAACATTACGTTAATTGCTCTTATGCCTAAAATTTAGAACCCTCAAAAGATGCTAGAATTTTAGACCAATCAATCTATGTTGCACATTATATAAGGTCATAACTAAGATTATTATAGCTAGGCTCAGACATATTCTCCTTGAATTGATAAGCCCAAATCAAGTTAGTTTTGTGCTTGGCAGACATATAACAGATAATATTCTCATTGCATAAGAGATTCTTTATAAGTTTAGAAAGTTCAAGGGTAATAAAGGTTTTTGGCATGGAAAATTGATTTGTCCAAGGCTTATGATTGCTTAAGCGGGAACTTTATCAATGGTGTGCTCTATGAGATTGGCATGCCTGAAAGCTTGATTCATCTTATTATAGACTGCATATCCTCTGTTAAATACCAAGTATGTGTTAATGGTGAATTAACCGAGAGCTTTACCCCTAGTAATGGTATCAGGCAAGGGGATCCCTTATCCCCTTATATTTTTGTACTTTGTATTGAGAAGCTATCTCACATTATTAATAATGAAGTCAATTTTGGTCGGTGGAAACCTGTTAAAGCTTTTCAATTTGGTCCCGGCATCTTTTACCTTTTTTCGCAAATGATCTTATGCTCTTTGCATATGCAACACCAAAACAAGCTAGGGTGATGAAGATATGTATTGACAAATTTTGCTTAGCATTTGGCCAAGCAATCAACTTTGAGAAATCTATGTTGTATTGTTATCTTAATACTTGTGCAAATGAGGCTAGAGAAATCAATGCTATTTGTGGATCTCCTTGTCTAATAATCTTCGAAATTATTTGGGGATGCCATTGATCCAATGTAGAGTCTCTAAGTTAACTTACAAGGGTATGATTGATAAAGTTCATAGTAGAATTTCTTCTTGGAAGAGTAATGTCCTTTCAATGGCTGGATGAGCCATCTTAATCCAAGCAGTCACCTCTGCAATACAGGTGTATGCTATGCAAATCACTAAGCCCCCGGTTAGTGTATGTGAGCATTTGGATAAGTTGAACAGAAACTTCTTTTGATGGGACTCTCAGCAAAAAAAGAAAGTTCATTTATATCAATGGAACCTTCTTTGTAGGCCAAGTGCATTGGAGCTGTGAGATTAAAGAAAGCGATAGAGATGAATCAAGCTTTGTTGGCTAAAATTGGATGGATAATTCATGCTAAGGATACATGTCTCTAGGCAAACATCTATGAGGCGAAATACTTACAAGGGAGCTTTATTTTGGATACTAAATTACATGAGAAGTTTGACTGCTCCTACACTTGGAAAGGAATTCTTTATAAAATTGATTTGTTGCGCAAAGGAATGAAATAAAGAATTGGGAAAGGTGATGGTGTCAAGTTTTGGAAAGACCATTGGGTATTGAATGATCCTTTAATTAATCATATTGATGCTAATAACTTTCCCGATGAGGACTTTCCAATCTCATCTTTCCTTTGTGATGGTTGGTGGGACGTTAATAAGCTAAGATCTGCTTTTCCAGAAAACTTGGTCAAAAAAATAATCAGTCGCCTTGCTGGGACTATTGGTGCTGGAGATGACAAACTTATATGGGGATGCACTTCAAATGGAACTTTCACGGTAAAAACGACCTATAATGTGTTATATGATTGTGAAAGAAGGCCTGTTTTTTTATTGGCTTGGGATTTGGACTCTCAAAATCCCCCCATACTTAATTTCTTCCTTTGACTCATTGGTCAAGGTAAGTTACTCATTAATGAGCAAAGAACCAAAAGAAACTTAACTGTGGATTCCTCTTGCAACCTTTGTTCTTGGCCTTTGGAGACCATCACACATATTTTTAGGGAATGTAGCAGAGCTGAATGCATTTGGGATATTCTACATATTCCTTCTCAATTGCACAATACTTTCAATTTGAACTTGAAAGCCTGGTTTATGGCTAACGTGACGTCCAAGATAATGTGGTCTAATAAGATAACATGGAATTGTTTGTTTGTCTTTGCTTGCTAGTATATCTAGAAATGGAGGAACCACCAGATTTTTTATGTGGATTTCTCCCTCCCTAGTGATCCTAAAAAGGTTATTACTGGAGCAGCATCTGAATGGATGGATTCCCTTCAAAAAATTGATAAACCACATTCTCAGGTGCATGTTGTGTTAAAGTGGGAGCCTCATGTTTGTGGTTGGCACAAGTTGAATGTGGATGGATCTAGGAAAATGGTTTCGAGCAATATCGGTGCTGAAGGAATTCTCTGTGATCATAATGGTGATTGCTTGGGAGATTTCTCTATTAATCTAGGGCAATGGCAGATTAATTGAAGTTTGGGGATTGTATTTCAGACTTCAGCTTGCTATTGAAAAAAACATATCTAAGTTAATCATCGAGATGGACTCTTCCTCTGCTGTCTTATTGTTGAACCATTCCATGCACGACACTTTTCACCTCCTTGCTACCCTTTTGAAGAGTTGTAGGGATTTGATGAGACAAATTGAGCATTATGAGCTAAAGCATAATTTCAGGGAAGTGAATAATGTTGCAGATCAACTAACCAAATAGAGCTACAATTTGGACTTTGGGTTGTGTTTATTTCAGTCTCCTCCCCAATGGCTTATGCAACATCTAATGGATGATATTGTAGGTGCCCCTATGAGCTCTATTATTATTAATTATATGTTTTAGTTCGTCTGGGGTGTCTTCACCCCGTCTATTCACCAAAAAAATAAAAAATAAAAAAAATATATAATGTATGAAGATCTTCTAGTTCTCTCTTAATTTTGACAATCTATTTAAGAATGATCAATAAACTTAGGGTTTGGGTCGTTTTTATTTTCTTTCATTTTTTTTGTCTCTCATAATCATAATTGACAAAGTTCAAGTCCTAGCCGGATGCGGATCCAGTACTTTAGGTCATGGTTTCTTTTGTTATCTATATACATGGAGGGAGAAGGCAAAAATGGTGAAACATTTTATAAAGTAATATGTATAAAATTTATATAGTCATAACTGCAGGTTTGAGTCAAATTAGGTTTTAGAACTTCGGGTTCTAAGATTACTACAATTTTTCAAATAGAACTTTGGGTCTAATATGGTATTGAACTTCAAGTTCAGATAATGAAATGGAGTAAAACCGTATATTCAACATTAAAAGGGAAAAACATAAATTATAGTAATTATAATATGCGAATTGAAATAGAAACATCAAACCATTAACGTATAATCCCAAAATATAAAGGAAAAATAGAGAATTTTTAAAAAGGGTTTAGACTAAGTTTATTTTAATAAAAAAATTATGTTATAACTTTATTTAATGAAAAAAAACTTAAATTTTAATGAAAATTATTAAATTTTAATAAAAAAGATAAAAAACTTAAATTTCAATATTTAAAAAAAAACTGATGCGTGGACCCACGCGCCCCTCACGTAAACGGTTTGTGAAACTTACTACACTGTTTATGAAACTTACTACACTGTTTATGAAACTTACTATACTGTTTATGAAACTTAACGATACTACACTTGTTAGATCCCACATCGCTCAAGGGAGAGGATCCTCTATGCCTTATATGGACATGCCCACCTCCATATAGCACGAGGCCTTTTGGGAGCTCACTGACTTCGGAGTTCCGATATGCCTTATATGGACTTGCCCACCTCCATATAGCACGAGACCTTTTGGGAGCTCATTGAATTCGGAGTTCATCGGAACTCCGAAGTTAAGCGAGTTTGCGCGAGAACAATCCTAGGATGGGTGGCCCACTGGGAAGTTCTCGTATGAGTTCCCAGAAACAAAACCGTAAGGGTGTGGTCGGAGCTCAAAGCAGACAATATTGTGCTAAGGTAGAGTCGAGTCCGAGATGTGGTGTAGCCCGGGTTAGGATGTGACAACATTGTTTATGAAACTTAACGGTACGACACTGTTTATGAAACTGAACGGTAGATGCTTGTCTCAGGTTTTCAAGTTTTTTCACCAAAGTGCAATAAAAAGATTAAAAAAAAAAAACACGATAGAGATCAACGTATACGTCAGTAAAGTCATTCATGGCTAATAGCTCAATACCATTGCTAGAAAAATGGGTGATGAGTCTAATGATGTTGCCCCACCTCTACCCCTAACCATCCCAACCCACACCTGACTGATTCCCTCCCAACCATACTGCCTAGATGTGGTTCTAAATTGAAAGGAACCCACTTCAATTAGAAATTTTAATTTTAGAGAAATAAAATATGCTTGGATTTAGTCAAAGGGTTATGCAACTGAAGGATTGGTTGGGTGCTCTTTGCATGTACCTTTAGTTAGGTTGTTTTTTTGTTTTTGTTTTTTTTTCTCTTATCTTATCATTAAATAAAGTTATACGATAGTTTTTGGTTAAAACTCAAAGTTTTGAATTTTTTTTCATTAGTTTTCTAAGAAAATATACCAAGTACAAAACCCACTAGAGCCTCGTCTTATATCTTTTTTTGTTTTTTGAACAAACGATGAGTGGAGGAGTAAACTAAGCCTCACAATGGACTAGTATCAAATTCTTCTTTGACGAGAATTAAACTTAAGATCTCTTACTTATAAATAAGGAGGAATACAACTAAACTGTAATACTAAATGATCTCATCTACTTTTAAATATTCCTACTTTTATCCAATTAGATTTGGACACATATCCAAATAATTGAAATTGTAAATATAAATTAGACACGTATCCACATCTGATTAGGTGAAAGCAGGAGTGGAGCCAAGTATTGCTCATGTGCTTTACGAAAAAAAAAAAAAAAAGGGTATTGCTCATGTGATCATGTAGAGAGCAGAGAGACAATAAAATAATGAGGTTATCCACCAATTAATAGAATTATGACAATAATTTATTTTTTTTTTTATTTGTAAAAAAAAAAAAACAATATTTTTATTAATATATAATTAGTTTCGTGTGGCGAAGAGTAAATAGGAGAAAATGAGTCTCTGACTCACTCCCTATTATGACCCGACGAATCTCCGAGAAGCTCCGACTCTCTCTCTTCCCCTACAAGTCGACCCTCCGCTTTCTCTGTCCTCCTCCCCATCCCTCTCTCTCCTCCACGCTCCACCTCTGCAAGTCCCTCGCACGCGTCCTCGCCGCCAAAACCCTAGCCCTCTTCTCCCTCCCTTTTTCCGACCACGACCGCGACGCTATGGCCGATTCCTTCGGCGACGACTCCTTCTGGGACCTCGACTTCCGCCCCCATTTCCGCTCCCAGCGCCCCCGCCTCCACGACGACTACGACGACAACGGCGACAACGACGAGGTTTTGGGAAATGCCGTTGATAAGGTGTACCTCGTTCCTTACAGGTGCGCTTTGGAACGACTACTCCCGCCGAAATTCTGTCTTTTGGGGATTTTTCCAATTGGGTTTTGGTGTCGTTTTGGTTCGGTTTCAGGTGGTGGAAGGAGGCTCGGATGGAGGAGGATCGCAATGGAGGGGTCCTTTACACTGCTACGACGGAGGACGACAACGCTGGCGCTGAAATTGTATTGAATTTGAAGAAGAACGACGTCGTTGAAGAAGGGTTTTCGGGGCGTGAATACGCCTTGGTCTCTGAATCAACGTGGTGTCGCGCTCTCATACGGTGAGGATAACTTTGCGGTTCTGATTTCTCATTGAAATGCTCTGAATTATTATGGTATTTTTAAGTCGTATTGGTTAGGGCAGGAGTAGGCTAGTTTCGGGGTTCCCAAAACCCTCGAAATGTAATTAGGGCAGGTCTTAATGGAGGCTTTAATTGGGTTTTAAGGGAAGGATAGTGTGTCATTTCTCTCTTGGTGTAAGGTGTTAACTATTACTATGCTGGATAATATTTTTAGGAACTGCTAAATACACCTTAGTTCAATTGTTACAGTGGCGTACGCAAATCTTTGATTGCCCGTTTCATAAATGATTGAGCTTGGATGATATTAATAGCACATCTCCGGGAAGATGATGGCAGTTTTCTGAGTTTATATGGTGGAAAGGAAAAAGAGGGTTTATTTGGGCATCACCAATGGAGAGATGCGACTTTGAAGTGTAAAAACCCCATTTACATCCCATTTACATTTCCTGGAGATGTCAATGTGGTTTTTGCTCCAATGGGAGATGTAGTAAATTTGGCCCTCGCCTCTTTTTGAAGTCATAGGACTTTTGCTTTCATTTCTCTCTTGAGATGTATAAAAAAAATGCCAATTTAAATAAGTACTTACATCTACCGGTCAAGATGGGTATTTTGCATTCCCTTAAAATTAACCATCGGTGAGCTTCACTACCTGCTAGGGATGTATATATGTTATACATCTCCATATACACCATTTACTAGAGATGCTCTAAGAATGGATAGGGTTTGGTTATAGGATCTTTCATGGAGTATATAGCTTTGAGGTTAGTATTCTAGGGACTAGGCAAATAAAAAATCCCCTCCAATCATACTAGTCAAATGGTCAGGCAAACAAGCCTTGTTCACTATCTTGTTCTGTTATTTATCACACTTGAAAGCAGCTGCCCATATGTTTTCTCAGAAGTGTAGTCCTTGTTCACTATCTTTGTACATTTTTTCAATGCGAGGAACAGTTTTATTTCTCATTAAAGAAAAAGATGGTAAAGTGTAAACGGTGTTGATTTCATTGTTTTGGTACTGGGCTGTCTGGGATTGCGGGAGGAAATAGAAAAATGCTTTAATATGTTTTCAGGGATTTCTTTCTTTCTTCTCCGCCTCCTCCTGAAGTATTTTAATAGATATTTATTTTTTTCTCTACATGGTTTAACAGTGATTTATGCGACCAGTGCTTTCTGTCTTTCTTGTCCACAACCTTCTGGCTGCCATTTGTCTGCCACTATCTTTCTATTCTTTTCTAAGCAGTGGATTGCCTGTAGTATTGGCTTTGATTTGTCCACTCTTCTTGTAGGCATAATGATTTCAACGCAGCAGCGAAGGATAACGTGAGCTTTTTTGGTGCAGAAAACTTAAATGATATTTATTCTCTACAAATTAGGCTATTTGTTTCCTGGGAAACAAATTCATTGTTCGTAAAGATCACCCAAAAGGTTAGTGACATTAGTTTTGTAGTTGAAGCTTATTTTCATTTATCCTTTTCCCTCTTGTTATAGTCCTGTAGATGATGAATTTTGAAAACTTTGTTATGGAAGTTAGATGCTTCTTGTTCTTTGGGAAGGAAATTGTTTGAGAATCATGCTCTACGTTATAATCAGCATAATCTAAGTGTGGAAATTGATTTTTGTTGTTATCATTTTTCTTTTCTTTGTGATATGTATTTGCAGGTTCAAAACATTGTAGGTTTGGAAAGTTGTTAAATCATGCATGCATTCTTCCTAATTAATTGACGTAAAAATTGACTAATTCTGTGTTGTGGACTGGAGTTCTGTGAAAGTATGGAATGATATGGTTATTGAACAAGATGCTAAGAAGACGAGTGAAAGAGCGAGATCAAGAAGAGGAGTGTGTGTTTTAGCTAGCCAAGGAGCGTAGTCCCAATAAGCGATGAACTGTTTCTCATCAGTTTATCAGATATTGTATTGGGACTGTTCTGCTATGTTTCAAGGAATTTTTTCTGAGTATTTATTTGTTCTTGTGGCATGCGTCATATGAAGGAAGGTTATTTGAGTTAAGAGGAGTCAGGCTAAGAAATGCATAAAGAATGAGAATATAAAAAGTATACCGTTTATGGATTATATTGCTTCTAGTAGTTGACATTAAGTGGAAGATTTACCTTTTACGGTAAAATTTCTTGGGATTCTACTGAAATGTGGGGTGTGTCACTTGCATTTTCTTTTCTTAAACCTCTTGTATTCTTGTGACATGCATATGATTCTTACTTTTGTACTTTGATACATTCTTGTGCTTGATCGTAGCACACACTAGTGGATAGCACTTTCAGCCTAAGGTCTGTATTGCAAAACGTGATACTATTTTTCTCTGGCTTATAAGTCGTAATTACAAGTTTATAGTGACAATATGTATATCATCCATAGGTCAAGCCTTGAAACTCACTGTATATTTATGTGTGAGCTTGCTTAATAGAGTTCCTATGCTGACATGTAGACTACAATTGCATCATAATTTTTTTATTTATTGTTCATTTACTATTCAGTTTATCAATACTCATTTAAATTCTTTAGGTTTGGATTGATTACCTTTTGTATTTGACTATTGACTACTACTTTTAGGATAATGCAATAGTTTCCTACAAAAGGGCCTGTAATGTTTTCAGTTCAGAGTATGTTCCGGTGAGTTACCAAGTGACAACTAGTCATTTAGAATTGGTCTGATAATTAAGTGGTGATATTTACTCATTCAAGAATTGATTGGCCAGTTGCATATTTGGGACTTCTCTGGGCAGACAACCCAATTTTTCATGAACGACAGAGTTAATTTGCCAAGCGATATTCCTGGACAACTGAACAAAGAGGTAAGTGATTAAATGTATGCAACATTTATTGATATATAGATTTCGTTCTCCTTTTTTGTATTTTTTGGGTGACGATCTGATTGGTCTTTTTTGGTTGGAAATAAGGGCCAGTTTCTCATTAGCATAACTTATTTTTGGGTACTCGTATTTGCACCAAGACAAACGTCAACACGTCCAAGGTTTAAACAATTCCATTTCTTTCCATTTCTCCCCAAGCTATATCTATGTTTGAAGTTTAAAAGTTCTTTTAAAAAGCACTGATGTGGCTGCCATTGCCCATTTTTGGTGAGGAGGGGGAAGGGGTGATAATGATGCCATTTGTCTGCATTGATTCTTTGTTAGTGTGGAGTGGATTACATCAAGTCCTTTTTTTTTTTTTTTTTAAAATAGATTACATCATGCATTCTTCTCAAGTATTCAAATTTTATAGTACAAATATCTACTGAACTTAATTATCAATGCTCAGTGTTGCTCTCTATATAATCTTTCATGCAGATTAAGTTCTACAGTTTAGTTATCCAGCCTTTCTTTTCATATTGTCTTTTCAGATTCTCCTTGAATTGCGACTCCATGGATTTTCAGACTATATGAAATGTTCAGATTGGAGGAGCGATGAAGTGGCTGATAAAGAGTCAAGTTTGGATGGTTCTACTTTTGGTGGCTCTATTAAGATGAATGGAAGCACTGACTATGTGAATCCTTATTTAACTTCAACCAACTCCTTGCAAAGTGGTATAATCTATAGAGGAGTTGGCTCCTTAGGCCTTACTGGACTAGAGAATCTTGGGAATACTTGTTTTATGAACAGTGCCATCCAATGCTTGGTGCATACTCCAAAGCTGGTTGATTACTTTCTAGGAGATTACCGGAAGGACATAAATTATGCAAATCCACTAGGACTGAAAGTATGTAATTGGATTATTCCTTTAGTTTTCATTTTAGATGCCTGCCTCTCTCTGGCATCTTTCACTTACTTTGATTATTGCCTCTCCCTTTTGCTGATACTTATTTTCCAGGGAGAGCTTGCTTTAGCATTTGGAGAGTTGCTGAGGAGGTTATGGGCTCCAGGTGCAAGGTCAGTGGCTCCAACGATGTTCAAGTTAGAACTTGCTAATTTTGCTCCGCAATTCAGTGGCTATAATCAGCATGATTCCCAGGTTAGTTCTTTTTATGTTTATTCTCCTTTTTTACTTGGTGGGAATGTTTAATCATGTTGTGAGGGAAATAGGTTTATAAATTGTAATTGGTTGAAGTGCCTCTTGTAGGAACTTCTTGCTTTTTTGTTGGATGGTCTCCACGAAGATCTAAATCGTGTAAAATGCAAACCTTACATTGAAGCTAAGGATGTGGAGGGTCGTCCAGATGATGAGGTAGCAGAAGAATATTGGCAAAATCACCTTGCTCGGAATGACTCAATCATTGTCGATGTGTGCCAAGTAAGTATTCTGGTTTAAATACATTTGTAATTTGGTGATTTTAGTTTTGCCTATATCTTCTTAAAATAAGTTTGGTGGGATCAACTTCATTCAATTATTTTCACTTTATTGCAATATCTGTTCGCTTTCCAACTGTAGGGTCAGTACCGGTCAAAATTGGTGTGCCCTGTTTGCAACAAGGTGTCTGTTATGTTTGACCCATTTATGTATCTTTCGCTACCGTTACCTTCAACATCAATGCGGACTATGACTTTGACGGTCCTAAGTACAGATGGGACTGCAATGCCATCTACATGTACGGTGACAGTGCCCCAGGGTGGGAGGTTGATGGATCTTACTAATGCCTTAAGCACTGCATGTTGCTTAAGAGATGATGAAACTCTGATGGTAGCTGAGGTATATTTCTAGAGATAAATTTTGGGGTATTAAAACTTTGTTGCATATCATTGTTGTGGGAATGGGGTTTTCCATATGGATGGATGACATTTATACTAGCTATGATCATGGGCCAGTTGTGTTGTTCTGCAGACTCTTCATCCTCTAGCACCATTTATTGGCATTTTGACTATTAGGGGTCCTCTTTATGCCTTTTGCATTCTCTCTAGTCAAGTTATGCCCATGATTGTTTTTGTAACTATTTGTAACCTTGTCAAGAATCATCAGTGAAACGTTAACAACTTGACCTTTGTTTGTAACTTTGTAGATATACAAGAGTTGTATTTACCTTTCAACTTGACCTTTGTTTGTAACTTTGTAGATATACAAGAGTCGTATTTTTCGTCTACTGGAAGATCCATTTGATTCATTAGCCTTGATCAGAGATGGAGACCTATTGGTTGCTTATCGGTTACCAAAGGATTGTGAGTCGTCCCTTTTGGTTACATTTATTCATCAGCAGATGGACGTGTAAGTTTTGTCTCTTAAATATATCACTGCTGCTCTATCAAATTGCTTTACTCAAATTACCTTATCAAAAAACTGAAAGTGATACTGCTGATGATTTTTCTGCTGTATTTGTATGTCAAACACGCTTAGTGAACTCAATAAGCAACCTGAAGAGTTTTATGTGATTGTAAAATAACTTGTGGCTTTTTTATAAAATGTTTGATAGAATAATCTCGTTTACAGGTGTAATGAAGGTACATTGTTTATCTGATACAAATTTGTATATGAAAGGACACTTTATGCTAACTTGCAAGTATGGCAGTTGGATCTTAAAGTTCACTAGAAACTGCATCGAAAACATACTGTGTGATATTTCCCCATAAAATATTTTTTGCTGGTGTATGGTATCTTTCATGTGATGCAGACGTTGAGTAATGCAATTAGTTGACGTATTGGGAAAAAAGAGCAAGTGATTGATGTGGTGATTTCATATCTGATTTATATTCGTTTAAGTTTGAATTCATGGCATAGAAGAATTTGTCTTATGGGTGTGTTGCTGGTCTTCAGGCTGTACAGCTATAGACATTTTTTGTCTCTTTTTATAGCTAATGACATTTTTTAATGAACTCTGTTGTACTAAAGTTGGATATGTCAGTTCCGAATTTGAATCTATGAACACATGATCTTTTAAAAAGATAAACAATTTACAGTTTTATGTTTCCGCCTCTGAAGAATTGTTATTATTGGCATTGCTTCTTTTTTTCGTTAAAAAGCCTAAATACATGTTTTTGTCTGGGATCAGGGGCTTTAATAATGGAGAGATGGGATTAGTCCCACAGGCGTTTGGCGTACCCCTCATAGCAAGGTTGCCTGATGTTTGCAATGGATCTGATATTCGTAACAAGTTCCTGAAAGTACTAAACCCATACTTGATGCCTACTGGAGATGCATTAGATATTTTTGATTATGATGATATTGGAAATTATGCTACTGAAGATTCTAACAAGGAGGATGCTGCTACTTCTACGATTATGGATAATGATGCTTACGCGGACAGGGAATCAGGGGATGAAGCACATTTGGATAATGACTTCCAGTTTTACTTAACAGATACAAGGGAGCAATAAGAGGCACCTTGATAGACATGAATGAGCCAGTAGTGGTCTCAAAGTTGCCTAAGAGGTTGAGTGTACTTGTTTTATGGTCTGATAAAATGACTAAAAAGTACGATACATGCCTTCTAAGCAATTTGCCGGAAATTTTCAAGCCCGAAGTTTTGGTGAGGAGGCCTCAAGAATCCGTTTCTTTGTACAAATGCCTTGAAGCCTTTATGAAGGAGAACCTCTAGGGCCAGAAGATATGTGGTTAGTATCTGCCTTTTATTTGAAATTACGAGAACAAAAATGTTATGCATCTTGTGGGCTGTTGTTTCTTGGCATAATCTGGCTAGCGAGTCTATGTGAGAGAAAGCAATTTATTTTGTTAATCACTTATGTTATCTACGTAGTTCGACTCTTCGGTATTTTTTGACAATTTATTAAATAATGCAGTCAAGTCATTTTCCCGTTGCCTATATTAATTATAGCTTTTGCAATGATCTGTTATTTACAGGTACTGCCCTACCTGCAAGAAGCCTCAACAAGCTAGCAAAAAGTTAGATCTTTGGAGATTGCCTGAGATTTTGGTTATTCATCTGAAAAGATTCTCGTACAGCCGTTATTTTAAGAACAAGCTAGAAACATTTGTTGACTTTCCAATTCATGATCTGGATTTTTCTTGCTACAGTGCCCACCAAAATAGCCAGTTATCCAGCCGATACATGTTGTATGCGATTAGTAATCACTATGGTGGCATGGGCGGTGGTCACTATACTGCATTTGCTCAAGTAAGTGTTTCTTCTATCGTTGGAAATTCCTTGTGTTTTTGTCAAAGTATCTCAATTGAAATATTTTAGTTGGTGAAAGTTGGATTGCCGCGTAGAAGCTCCTTTTTTATTTTGTTCATTATATGCATCTATCCCAGCGTTTTCTCAGTTTAAGGCTTTCTTAAAATATATGTATAATTAGGCATGCCTGTGCTAAAAAAATGTGTAAATGAAAAAGAACGGAAGTCATAAGAGTTAATTGTAACTTTTCAGCTTCTGTTAGTCACCGACTCACCTTGGTTAGGAGTTGTTAAGTTTTCAGACCTGATTGACATGGCTTCTGCAAGCAAATTTGCGTTTGTTTTGTACACAGACCTTTTGAATGACACGGTTTTAATAAACAATTTTGTTCATGTGCAGCTCGGTAATGGTTCGTGGTATGAGTTTGATGATGACAGGGTTTGTCCTGTTGGGGAAGAGACAATCAAGACATCAGCTGCATATGTTCTTTTCTACCGAAGAGTGGCAGATGTATAGACACCTAGGCAGTTGTATAGCTAAGTAACAATTGGGAAGCACGTTGCGGGAGGAGGGGCGACGGGCGTAGATATCGGAGGAGGGATATTTACAGAAAAATGGAGCATATGATTCATGTTGTACAGCTTTTAATGGCGCCGGTGGAAGAGGCGTATAATAGCATCACCTCTTTGATTTTGGGTTCACCTTGTATGTATACTCGACCCAGAAAAGTACTGAAATAGCATCAATTGTTCAAATAGTTGGATTGCCTTTCCCCCTTTCTATGTGGCTGCAACATTTTAGAATTGGTAATTGTCTCCAATTTACTTGCAGGCTTGCATCTAGTTCATTTGAATTAAAATTAACATCTTCAACAAGGATGAGAGTTTTTTGGTCGTGGTCATGAAATTAAATAGTTAGGGGCGATTATGTGATCAGATTTGCATTTGTGTTATGAATTGCCGTGCGATTGTTACTAATTTACTTTTGTTATAACATGCTATTTATTTATTTATTAATATTTTTATTTTTAACAAACAATATTATTTACGCAAAGGAAGAGGGGATGAGCTTAGTCTTACAATGGACTACTAATGATGTGATTCAAATTCGTTTTTGATGAGAATCAAATCTAAGCCCTCTCATTTATAAGTAAAGATGAATATTATTAGACAATGGTAATAAGTGACATTAATATAGCAATTACATTGTCTACTTATGAAGTATCACTTTTATTGTCCAAAAAAGAACAAAATTGAAGCATCATTTTCATATATGTACAAAAAAATATATATCAATTTTTATAAGAAAAATTAATGAAAATGATTTAAAAACTTTGACTTTTAGTGTAAAAATATAATTTTTCGTTAAACTGAACAGTACCGAGTGTTTTTCGTTAAAGTTCTCATTTTTATAAGATGGGGACTAATTTTGAAATTTGCAACACCATTTCAACTAGCAACTATTTGGTCCTATCATGTGAATATATATAATTAGGAGATCATATTTAGTGGTTGAAATGTTTATTTGATAGTTTAATAGACTTGGAGGTAACGTATTATTATTATTATTATATATAGTCCATTAAAATGGTGAGTTATAGACCATAATTACGGTGTAGCTAATATAAGTGCAGGTACAGCACGCGCTATCCGGTATCCATCCGTGAGTTTTGTGTAGAGTTCCAGATTTTCTGAGACTCTGGGTTCTACTCGCATACACATATCTCACCAAACGCAGATTCTCCCGCGACGCACCACCCTTGAAGAAACATTCAGCAAAAGCTGCCGAATACAGAGCTTTAATGGTTGCGCCCACTTCTGGTAAACTCATCTTCTCTATCTCTTTCTCTACTCTGCTTACTTTTTCTTACTTCTCCGAAAAAGTTAAATAAAATCCAGAAGCTTTTTTTTGTAATTTTGATATGGAAAAAGGTCTAAATTTTGAGATATGGGTAATGGGTTTTTGAACATTTGTGGTTATGAGCATGTTAGCATTACTGGGTTCCTCCTGGATTTACAAAAAGAAAAGAAAAAAGAAGATGTTTCTTGGTTGGCCATAGGAACTTTTGGATACCCCAACCCCATCACCAATGCATAGGCCTCGTTTGGTGCCGAGGATTAGATTGGATAGGATAACTCACTAGATTGTTTGTATGTTGAATGAAGAATTAGATGCCCGCTTCCAAATTTTGCACAGGTTGAAAGGTGGAAGATGAACTAGTCACTGAAGGTAACTTATCCCTCGGCGTCCTACTATTGTAGGGATTAAAAGGATAAGTTCCCTTCATGACTAATATCATCTTCGATATTCAACTCGTACAAAGTTTTCAAAGTTGGCATACATTTCTTTGTTCAACATTCATTCAAGCTACTTAGTTATCCAATCCAATTCAATCCTAGACAATTGAGGCCGTCATAAAGTGTAAATGAACACAAAAAGCTTCTTCTAACTACCATTGAAACTTATATTAGGAGTTGAGGGATAGTGTACTAGGAAAGTTGTCGTTTTTCCTAATGACAGTCAATTTGCATCCCCCCTCTGCACCCAAGTTCGAATCCGTTCCCCGTAGTATAAATTAGATTAATTAGCATACTGCTCGAATAAAAACAATGAAATAATGACAGTCAATTTGTATAGATTCTTGTTATCATTTCAGTAATAATTTTATTAGGCCTTGTGTATGTTCCAAGTGAACTGTGAACATTAACATTTTTTGTGCGTCTTTCCTTTAGTGGTTGGTGTTATTGGGCAGCCATTAATGGCTAAGTATGGTTGATTTTCATTAGGAACAATACTGGAAGATGCTGCAGTACGAGGGGGAGATAAGCTCATATTGAGGGGTTTGAAGTTCCATGGTTTCCATGGGGTGAAGCCAGAGGAAAGGAAGTTGGGTCAGAAGTTTGTGATAGATGTTGATGCTTGGATGGATCTCCGGGAGGCTGGTAAATCTGATCACTTGTCAGATACCGTTAGTTACACCGAAATCTATCGGTTAGTAATAACATAATACCACCTTTTCATTTTTCATTACCTCGAATACTGACATATAACGTCCTAGTTAAGTGCTGCAATTCTAGCATGTGCATTTTACCAGTGAAATGTTCACTTCAGTTTGCAATGGCCTTGAAAAGTTATCTTCGTTATCAGTCTACCCTGAGATCTGTTTTTGTTCAGTTTCTTTTGTCTTATAAATATGATATAATTACTAACAATTACTGAAAGATATTTCAAAATGCAAACCCAAAAGCTAGGCAGTTATGTGCACAAAAGAAAAAAATTTAAACTACATTCTCGTCCAATATCTAAGATTTTCTCAAACTAATACGAGATCACTTTTGATTTATTGAAATGTACACCGCAGCATTGTAAAGGAAGTTGTAGAAGGGCCTCCTCATAATCTTCTGGAGTCCGTGGCTCAACAAGTTGCGTCTACCACTCTGAAAAATTATCCCAGATATCTGCTGTCTCTGTGAAAGTTGTGAAGCCGCATGTCGCTGTTCATGGTCCTCTTGACTACCTGGGTGTCGAGATTTTTAGATACAGAAGTATTGATGCGCCAAAGTAATATTTTACCAAGTTACTCGTACATAGGCAATCTACGTCCCCTGTGACTTCCTGACACAGGTTTTTAGTGTGGTTTTCTTTCAGTTCGAAATTTTGGCGCAGATCCTTGTTCTATATCGTGAACCAGTGCTATCACTAATTAATGGCATTGCAGTTTTATCTTGTGATTGTGCACGTTTTGACTACTGTGATTGTTTGATCTTGGTTGCTTTGGTTTTGTACTTAATACCTGTGAACTTTTCTTTTATTGGATTTCTTCATCAAGATTGCAGCAACGGGTCAGTCCCGTTACTTATGCAGCAAACAAGAGATAGGTCAGCTGCAGAGAGGGCTGGTCATGAGTGGAATAGTTAGATCAGTTAGCAAGATTTGTTGGTAGTTCAGTTGCTATATCGAGAGTTACGCTCTCCATAACCATGTCTAGGGTTTGTCGATAACAAAACTCTCACAAGCGAATGAGTCTTCTTGTAGGGAGGTTGTGTTTCTGAACCCAGTTCTGTAGTTTTGGGTTTGGATCTGCAGAGCATTCCATGGTGTTGGACTCAGTTTTCATCCATCGAGCGCCTAGCTTGGACCACAGTTTAATACTACTGTTGGGTTTTATTAAACAAGCAACCGCTGTGCAGCTTCTTTCATGAATATGATCGACAGGGAGAAATTGTTCCCATAACTGTCATAAACAACCCCTCGCTTGACGATCATGTGAACGGTTTTGTGAGGTTTGTAGCATCCGGGAAGAGCAGGGAAGAATTCTTCATCGATAAGCCGGCAGCTTACAGGTACCGATTAGTTTGATAGAATGTAATTAGCCAACTGGTAAGCAGCATCTAAAACGATATATTTTCGTGTGCACGCTAAAATCCTCCAAGATTTGCGGTTCCAGATTGGAGTATTTCGACATGCTTCCCGTGTATGCGGTATCAATGTGAATAAATACAAGCGTTACTACGAGGAAAACAAAATAAAAAGCACTGTAAAACGAGAATCCTGCATTTCCTTCTAAACTTCAAAATTTTATTCTCTCAACAAAAGCCGACTAAGAAATGACTGCGAAAAAAATAATAACTGCGAGCGAGCAGCCTCTACCAGAAACGAAACAAGGTTTGCTCCTACTGTGGCACTCCGTCTTTCACAATTCAACATGACAATTTGATCCAAATGCAAGGACAGGGGAGGAGTCTCAAAACTTTCTTTTAGAATGTGAATGCAAGGGAAGGAAGCTTTGCTCATGAAGCCTCACCATTTTGTTCACGATCACGACTTCTGCCTTTGCGGCCCCAAATTGGAGTTGTCTCAATAAGTTGGTGAGGAACAAGCTTTCTTTCGCGCTTAGTCATCTTAATGAAATTCTTAACCTTCAGTTTGGCTATCTCTGCCTCCTCGTCAGGGGTAATCTCCCTCACTACGACCGTAAGGCGGCATTCTGGTCTCACTTTCACTCCACATTTGCCTTTAGCATGGTAGGATAGCCTCTTTTTGAAGAATCCCTTTCCAACAAAAGCCTCGGCTACAAATAAGGAGAAAATGCAGAACAAAGAAGGTTAAAACTGAAAAACAAAAAAGAAAGATAACAAAAACTAAACTTTGTTTACAGTATTTACCAACAAGGAGACGGTCTGGATCCAACCCATGATTATGAGTTGCATTTGCTCGGGCTGAATGAATGACCTGCAAGTAGTAGTTTCTTATTTAATGTTCACATTCTGGAGTATATACATATTTTTTTTCATGTGAGTATGCCGCTCTCACAACTCACAATGAAGCATACAGGCAGCTTACCAGCTTAAAACTAATAAAACAAATACTTCTACTTCCAGACTCTACTCAGAGGCATTTTGTAGATGCGTGAATCAAAATAATAATAGTAAATCACCTTAAATGCTAATTCACTTGACTTCAACACAGATGTTTCTACATAGCAAAGCATAGCTAACATATATTTATATATATGGGGTGTGCTATCCACACACCCCTTGTTGATTTCTGCCCCTTGATCTTCTTCAATTCACCCGATCCAATGGCCAAAAATTAGAAGGATGTGTAAGAAGTAAAAGGGGGTGTGTGGATATCACACCCCTATACACACACACATTGTATATATATATGTGTGTGTGTGTGTCATAAAACTGTTCTAATTAAAATAGCTCAACAAAACGCTAAGTGGCTGTATCACCTGGTACACAGTTTTTGAAGCTCGCTTTACTGTCACTTGCAACTGCAACAATGCATCTTCAACGCGCATACCACGTACCAGTGCAGCAACCAAGTTGACCTTCTTAGGGCTCTGAGAGTAACAAATGAGTGAGCTAAAATCAATAAAGGTACATTAACAATAAGGGGTAGAACATGAAATAACATAAAGTATAGAGCAGTCATTTATGCGACCCGAGATCATTCACTTTAATGTCTAAACTGCAAGAACATAAACTATCCAAGATTAAATCCAACTTTTAGGACTATTAGCAATTTAGCATCCAAGATGATTGGAAACGAATATACGTCCGTTTCAACATAAAGACAAGTGTAAAGGAACTGCTAGACTACTGTTTTCAGTACTGTCTTTTCCTAAATGCATCACACACACCCACATAATCAGCAAAATGACTAGTGTAAAGGAACTTGTTCAACCCCTGGCCCTCTCTACGCCATTAGTTGTCCATCCTAAGGTAAATTTGGTAGAACACAGAGATCAATACCCTAATACTAAATTTGCCTATTGGATAGCAAAGGAACATTAATTCAGAAAATGTGCTTCATGGCCCGATATACCTAAAAAACTGAATCCGAACAAAGCATATAATCCATTACAAACCCTTATAACGATATAACAAGAGTGCAATTTCATTACCTGCTTTATTCCCTTTAAGATGGCTTGAACTTTAGCAGGTTTAGTGAGCGATTTCTGCTTGTGCTCCTCATTCGTCGCAGTATTTGATGCCAAAACAGGAGTCAATGGAGATGGAAGAGGTGTTTCCTCAGCTCTCAAGTTTCTCGAACTAGAAATTCCCTGTAAGATGAAAACACAAATATAAATATATATACATTATATATATATACACACACACATGTGTGTGTATTATATATAAATATATATGTAAATTTGAGAATTACCAAGTGCTGAAAATATTGATGAAGGGGCCTTGAAATGGTTGGAGAAGATGGTTTGCAAAGAGTTTGGAAATAAGGCAAGAGACCTGCAACATTAAGATTCTGATATTCAACAATTTCCCAAAACACCAAGTGAGAAAATTGGAGGTTTCGAAGAGCTACTGACCCTCTAAACGAGAAGAGGAAGAAGAACAGAAATTGGCTCGAGGGTTGTAACTACATTCAACCCTTTTTCCAATTTGACGGATAGCTGATTGCAGATGCCTCTGCCAAGCCGCCATGGCTGCAAAAGAGATTTGCTTACTACCTACAAAAATGGAGGAAAATACTGACATTTGTTAGTGGATTTGGGCATTTGGGGGAGAATCGGAGGTTGGGATATCTGAAAGTTGAGTTCTTTGTGCGCCACCACCTACCTCAGCCTCGTTTCAACCGCGACGGCCACCGCAAAGTGTCAAAGTGTGAAGAGTTTCAAAGCTCAGTTGCCGCGGCAAACCTAAATAACTGACCCATTTGGCCGTGTTTTTACTGGACTTCTGGAGGCTGAGCCGAAGCTTTTCGGGAAAGAAAAAAATAATAATAAAATACTTTAACTAAGAGAATTGTTATTAGCATTTCAAAAATCTTATTCTACATTCCTCATAAGGGTAATTTTCTTTCTAATTATAGAAAGTTTGGAGTGCAAAATGAGATTTTTGGAGTGCGAATAACAATTCCCTAACCAAATTGTAGCAATAATGCTAATCTACTTTCTGGCACCCTTGAGCATTTCAACTATTTTTGTACAATTTTTTTTATATTTCTCATATCACTACAACAAATTATCATATTTATATTCTTCAAAATATATTTTTTCGTGTAAAATCTAATATACACTAAATATACATTTTAACATCTTGAATTTAAAAAAAAAAATGTACACTAAATATAAATTTTAATATCTTTATATTTTTCACTTATTTTTTTACTTTTTGGCTTAAATATTCCACTAAATCCGTTTCCTAATACATTATAAAGATTTCCTTAATGCTAACGAAAATTTTCACACCCTAACCCGGAATGTCCACTTAGACTCCGAATCGAACTGTGTTGGCCGACACCTGGAAGGTGATAAAGCCATAAAGTGTAATGTGGTGGAATATGTAAATAAATTTAAACCTAAAAGTGTCTAAATACAAGAGTGCACGGTGAGCATTCACACATGATGACAGAGCATAAATACAGTACAGTAAAATAGGGTGAGAAATTATATCATCGAAGGTAACCGTCTACCCTAAGATTTGCCAAGAATCCTCGTCGATATGAAAGCTCAGCTACTAAAACCTAGAGGGGCGAAAAATAAGGGTGAGTGGGCCTGAAAATAAAGTTTTAATAAAAAACCTTTGAAAAGTTATAACCCATCACCGTAAAACATGTATAGTTTTCAAAATATACATACTACGTATAGTATGAAATACTTACCGTAGCCTAAAAAACGTAAATAAGGCATGACATCCCAAAATCTCAATAGGGATATAAGTAAAATCAGGTGCTCAACAACCTATGCTAGCACACCAGTTAGAGTTACCTAATGCAACCTGTACGATTTCACCTATTGCTCATCAATCTATGCTCGCACACGAGTTGGAGTCGCCTAATGCGACCTGTATGACATGACAGGGTGTAATCATAATATACGCTATAGTGCTACGATCACATGAAAATTGGCGATAATCGCAGTCACCTACGAGTCGGAGTTGCCTAATGCGACATGTACGACAGGACTGGCACCTACTTGGATCCAAGGCGAGCGTGCGGTGCAGGAGGTGAACATACACGTGAAGGACTGGCCCTAGCTCGGGGCGAGCACTAACACTAGGATGCAACAATGATGAGCAGACTACATGAATATAAGCATGCCATAATGATTCAATAATTCTAATCAACATAATAACGTTCATAGCCGTAGATATAATTATGGCATCAAAGATTATAAGCATACCTGTGCATCCTGTAGGATGTAGCATATTTTATAAATTTCGTCATTTCACTAATTCTTATAAACTTTAGTCTAATCCAGGCATACGTAAGAAATTCTTTTTCAAATGCATAAATGGGAACTATCAATCATATATATACTATAAAAAGGAAAAGACACTCACCTGAAGTCCGCGCTACAACACCCTAGCATGAATATCGAGGTGTCACGAACAATCGTCGCCTAGAACAATTATCAAATCACATCTCAGAATTCTTATCGATATAACACATAACTTACATAAAACACATCTCCAAAGACGTTCTAGAATGATTTTAAACCCATTGACCAAAAGTCAACCGTTGGTCAAAGGTTGACTGTAGGGTCCACAACACTACGTAACTCGATTTGGAGGATCCACAACTTAGATTTCCTATCCAAAACTTCCAAAGAGGCACATTATTCTTCTAGAACATCATATTAAAATTTCATTACGATCCAACGGTTGGATCTCCGTCAATTGCAAATTCAAGTGGCGGCCAACGTTTTATTTTACGAGCTTACAAATCCAATTCAGGAAGATTCGTAAGTCGGATTTCCGATCTGTATGTTTCTAATGTCCTCAAATATTACGTAATATAATGTATTAAAGTTTGGTGATGATCCAATGGTTGGATCATCGAATCATATAACAACCAAGTGGCTGCCCTTAACGAAAATATAACCAAACGACGAAATTTCAAAAAACGGAGGGCGGATTCGGGTCCGTCATGTCGAGGAACCTAAGAAGGATCTCGAGTTCCTCCCAGCGCCGCTGCAAGGTAGCTGCATAGGTAGCCACGCGCTGCACCCTTCGACCATCAACACGTGTTCACGCGCGCCACGTGCCTGCAAGTATGGCTGTACTTATCTTCATTGCGAAGGTTTGCATTTTTCAAGTTGAACCTTCAACTTCCAGAGCTCTAACGAGCTCAAATCTCAGTCATTTTCAGTGATTTTAAAACCAACATGAAGCTAGAAATGTGGGGAAGATGATTATACCAATTCGAGGCCCAGTCGTGGCCGGAGTTAATAGGGGGAACGGCCTAAAAGTGACCAAACGATCGAGAGTTAACTCATAATGAGTAAAAGCTAACGTCGAGTGCATACTCACAATGAGAAACGCCACGAGCCGAGCCGCCTCGCAACTAGCACTGCCTCCAGCCAAGCAACCGCCTCACCGTGAGCATTGCCTCTAGTCAAGCAACCTCGAAACGTGTGCTACCTCTAGCTGAGTTTTGCTTCACGTTGAACATCGCCTCATGTTGAGCACTGGTTTTAGACGAGATCTAGTCACTTCGGCCCGCACATAGATTGGATTTGAAATCTCCAGCCAAAAGACTTTCTTGACTGAAGACTTGGGGGACTCCTGTTGTACCATATATTGGGCCCTAGTATTTGGGCCTCACGACCTAGCCCATGAAGCATGTAGGAGGTGAAGGGAACCCTTATTCTATAAAAGGGATCCTTCATCTCACTTTAATGGATATAACAAAGAGAGCAGACCCTAGCCTCCATATTGTAACCCTCAATTTACATAATGAAACTGGATCGACACCAATGTGGACGTAGTCCAACTTGAGGTGAACCACGATATATCTTTGTGTTCTTGTGCTTTTGTGTGATTTACGGTTGGATTTACGTTAGTCCAAGATTAACCCAATTTTGTGCATCAACATAGTACACTTGAGTTTTTAAAAAGTTTAATTTTTTAACACACATATCCTACTATTTGTATAATGACACGTGATATACCATCTTATGTTCCGATCACATTGAAAAAAATTTCCGCCATCTAGGTCATGTGGGAGGCTGATAGCCTTATCATTTTTTATTAAAAAAACAAAAAGGCTTGACTTCTAAGAAAGTCCACCCCACCCAAATTAACTCCATAATCCTCCATTTCCTAAATCCCACCATCATCAGCACACCACCCAACCGAAGTCCACCATCATCAGCACATCGTCAATCTCTTCCCCAAACTTCACGTACCTATCGACACTTCAAGTTTGACTTAATTAGGCATTTCATGATTAATTTGATATTTATATTTATTCTATGTGTTTGAGAAATAACTTTCTCAATTGCAAGGAATTAATGATCTTATTAAAAATGATAGAAAATGGTTAAACTAAATTGTTGTTTGTATAAAGATTATGAATAAAAAGTTGTAATTTATCATTTAATATTTCAACGGTATTTTTATCTAATTTTTTTTTTTAGCTTGAACATAGCAAAAGGTTTGGGAAAATATTAAATAGACAGATGTTATAATGTTATTAGGCCACTTGTTATAGTGAGTAAATTGAGTACTGACTAGTCAGTACTCAAATATTGTCCTCTGTTTTTTTTTTTTTGCTTTTCTGACCCACCATTTTTTGTGGTTTGTTAACCCATTTCTCTCTTCTTTTTATTTTTATTTTTATTTTTATTTTATATATTATTCTTGTATGTATTTTTTTCCCCTCTTTATAAGACCCCCAGCGTATTTATCTTAAACTCTCACATTATCTATAAATATTGTATTAATTTTTTAAAAATAATGTAAATATTGTTTAATGCTTATTTTATGATAAAAGAAATTTATTTAAATTCATCTAGGCTCCTGCCTAAATCTCACATAGGCGCCTAGCTACTAGGCCCCAGTCCGCTGCATGACTAGCGCCTAACGTTTTTTTAGAATCTAAACCTAACCAATTTGAGCTTCTTACATGGCTTTGATATTACCGCTTACAACTGCTTTGGTGAAGAGACTGTTTTTTGTTATGAATATTGACTCAAAACTTTGCACTCCCCATTGTGAAAGCAACCGCTTCGATTGAACCTTGCACACTTTTGAATTTCGCCCCTCCCCTCGGCAAAACTTGACTTCGCAACCGCCGCCACGAGTTGTTACTATTGCACGTTAAATATGAGTGGGCAGCAAAGTTCCTATGTTCCACTTCTAAAGTGTATGAATGAAAAATAAGTACATATATTATATTTTAAGTAAAATAATAACATTATATGACCGTGAACTGAGTACGTCGAAATTAATCGTGTTTCCTAACTTGTAGCAAACACAAACCAAACAAAATCGTTTTTTTTTTTTTTTTTTTTTTTTCTCCGAACAATCAAATCGTGTTTACGAGTTTGTCTTTCCACATCTTGAAATCTGGAGAACGCGTGATAAGAGAAGAAAAGATTTGGATTTAGAAACGGATGACGAAACCTTGGGAAAGGGTTAACTGCCTAATCAATTAGATGTTTTCACCGACTTATTTTCTGTTCATAATGTGTGTCTATATATATCCCACTCTAGGGCTCTATAATCTCTTCCTTTATATCCTCTTCTACAAGCACAAATCTACTGTAGATCGCAAACTCCATAAACTCGCTCCATTTTTGCTAGAGATATGCCAGGCATTATTAGTACCGCTCTTCCAAATAAAAAATCTGTTCAAAGAAAACTTGTTATCAAGAAAATAGAGAAACCAAATTCCCTGCTGGTCTCGTTTTCGAAGCGGAGGGGCGGTCTTTTCAGGAAGGCTTGTCAACTCAGCGGTCTGTGTGGCGCTGAGGTGGCCGTCATTGTTTTCTCTCCGTGTGGCAGGCTGTACGTCTTTGGCCACCCATCGGCGGATTCTGTTCTCTCTCGCCTTGAACGCGTAAACAATGCCTTGCATGGCCGCCAATACATCTCCATGCATGCTAGTTCTGAGGATGAAGATCATGATACAGACAGCAGTATAAACGAGTCCAATTCAATAGAATCTTGTATGGTGTCCAAAACGAGCATAGATCTTGAAAATCTTGTCTTAGATCTTGAAAAAGACACAGAGGAGATGGAGGAGGACGAGGCGAGCAAATTTTGGTGGGACCAGCCAATCGAGACTGTGAAGAAGTTGGATGAACTGAAGCAGTTCAAGAGTTCATTAGACAAATTGAAGGCTAAAGTAATTACGCAATTGGATGAGATGGAAATGCGTAAATTGGTTGTGAGGCATTATTTGATGTGAGACCATGCGTTGTGATGTATTACTTATTTTGTTACAATTGTATCGAGTTCTACATTTATTGTCTCAAGGAAGAAAAGGAGAGCTTTCATTGACTAGGGTTACCTTTTGTGCAAGTGTCGTTATTAAACGTTTGATTCTTTTTACTGCATATATAGAGTATTTAATCTTTTGTAAACTAACTAGATTAAGGGATTAAGTAAGAAATTGCATGTACATGTAAAACCCTATTCACAATCTTACCTTGGGATCCCACAGATAGTAATAATATTATGGCAGTCGAATTCTCGGGCAATTCCAACACCAAAAAAGAACTTCGCTTTGTCTTTATACATGCGAATACAGGCCGAGAGTATTTGTAAGACACACAAAATTGATATACTACTTGATGCGCATTATAATTCATATACAATATTAGATTCCTCTATTATTGTAGCCAATTCTTAGAAAGCGTGTGAATTTTGTATGTGCAAATATAATTATGAATCAAATAAAAAACCAATATATGATCTCTTCCGGGTGTGCTTTTCTTTTACTAATCAGTTAATGAAGTTTACACGATGTTCTTTTTTGGTATATGTTTTGCTTATTCGTCGTAAAAATATAAATTAACGTTTGTTTTTTTTTTAATTATTCTTAGTTGATTGATTTTCCGCTTACATGCATGAACGTAATATCGGTATCGCATAAATTAACAAGTACAATAGGACCAATAAATAAGGACTTTTTTTTATAAGTACCAAATAAAATCTTAACATTGTTAATAAAATGACCTGCTTGACATCAATATGGCGCCCTATGACCAAAGTTACCGAGTTCCCGTAAATGAATAATTGTTAACTTGATAATTTAATATACGGAAGGACAACTAGTGCAATAATTTGTAAAATTACAGATTATTTCTACCAATTTTAACGGACGATGACCAAAATGTTCTATGCTCTTACAACCATTGGGTGATAAGTTTCTATCATATTTTCTACATTATGGATTCCGAGTTTAAACTCTCATGAATATGATGATAGATTCAAGTTAAACGTTATGATTTTAATTTAGGGTAAATTACATTTTCATACCTTAGGTTTGGGGTCTATTTCAATTCCTTACAACATCTTCAAAACATTTCACTTTCATACCTTAAGTACTATTTTATTTCAAAATAATACCTCAGTTACATTTTTCATCCATTGATCCGTTAAGTGCTGACGTGTCTGCCACATATATGCCATGTGGCTGCCAAATGTCTGCCACATGGCAAAAAATATGCTATTTCCGACCTTGTAAACAACGGGCTGCACCAAGGCCTGTGTGGCTACTTTGTTAGAAGATTTTTTTGGTGGTATAATTACGCTGCATGATGTTTTTGTGTTCATTGGACTTCAGAGAAAACTCCTCCCCCACGCCCTCTGCTAATATTCACATTTGTGGATAGGCCTCTTCCGAGTCTGTGTACCCATCACAATGGAAAAGAATTCGTCCCAAGGACACACTGAAAGGACGCAAGGGAATGGAATTGCGGAAGAAAAAAATTTGACAGTACTAGCATAGAGATTAGGATTTTGTTTGATTCACGACTTTTACTTGAAGAAAAAGCAAGTATAATTGTCTAGCAAGGAGCCCTTTCTACAAATATTGCTAGCATTGTTCAATGTGCCCAACTTACGACTTACGAGATACAAAACTATACCTTGTGAAGGTAATGGGAGGAGGAAGAAAGATGGATCACAGTGGACGAAGCTTTCTCATCAACCACTTCTTTCGCAGAGCGGGGTGCAATGCTAAAAATATCCTGGCTCTCTTCTCATCCTCCAAAATGTCAATAGCATTTAGGACATCAGTAAATTTCTCTACGGATACAGATGCCTCTTTCTTCAGTTTCTTCAACGGTGACTCTGCAACTGCCATATGTCCTAGAGCATTGGCCGCAACTCCATCCGTTGGTTTCTTAGACAGTTGTAAGGTTTGTGTGCTTACAGGACGGTGCCTTTCCTTTTGATCTGAAAAATTCTTGACATCACTTGAACCCATTGACTTCTTCTGAACATCTCCATCAATTTTCTTGGCACTGGTTCCCTTGTAAAGAGCTCGACTGCGGCTTGATGGAACTTTTTCAAAAATCTAGTGTCATTTCCACATATGATACACACATCAGAATAATATGACATAACTTTATTTCTGTACATGTGGAAACTGGGATGTGCCTGCATTTATAACAAAGTAAGGTACGAGCAATAGAATGTCTCCATTAAATTACTAATCAAGAACAATTCAAATATACCTCGACATACTTGTCCCAGACCGGATCATCAGCCACCACCTTCTGTTGTGTTTCGTCCCTAGTAAAACCCTTTTCATCAAGCAGGATGCTAACGCTACTGTAATGTTTCCTGAACACTTTGTACCGATTTTTCAATACCGCCCTACCATGCTGACAGTGTACCAAATTTTCAATACCGCCCTACCATGCTGAAACCCGAATTTCTCATTACAGCATGTGATCATGGTAATCCATGATTTATTCTTGAAAGTGCGACCAACCTTATTCCCTTTGTGCACTTCATCCAACATTAGTTCAAGGAAGAATTGGTCCATAGTCTGTGACCAGTCAATTTTTTTAGGATCACATCTTTCTTTCTCACAAATTACATCACAATCATCATGTTTACACCATCTCCGTCTCTATTTCCCCCTCCGTAGACAGAACTGCTACGACTCCACAGCTGCCATCACCATCACCGTGCCGCCCGGCACCACAACTAAATTTTCAAACCAGCTCCACCATCTCCTTATTACATTGCTCCTTTCCCCACCAAGACTGTCTCAACATAACCTTGTCCACCATTTTCTTCTGACACTGCTCCTTTCCTTCCGACTAAATTCTCTTTTTTTTTTTTTTTTTATTCTTTTCCTTCTTTCGTGATTCACTTTCAGCCTTACAACTCCTCAGGAAATAATAACAAAAAAGCTTAGGCTGCTAAAATATTTTGACCATGGCATCCCGAGAGGTTTGCACACCACAGTTTATATATTTCTGTCCCTCAATTCTCATTTGGTACGTGCAGGAAAAGAAAAATAGTGCACGGATATCACGTCTCATTTCTTTCATTTTCGATGCTTTCTTTATTCTTATCAAAAGGAGGACACAACTAGTTTACCAAAAAAAAAAAAAAAAGAGGACACAACCAAGCATATAAGAAATGTGAGTGCCCATATCCTCAAATATTTTACATATTCTTTTCATCTAATTTATCCAGTGATTCCTTTCACATGCTCAACAACCAAATTTTTTATTCTATCCGACATATGGAATAATTTTCGAAAAATCCATCTGTTTTGTGTTTTTTTTTCCCCTCACCGACTCACAACGACTTCATTCTTTTGGTTTTATGTACACACCTGGAAACATTCACGCGTATTAGGTAAGAACGTCACCTGATTCACAACATTCTATTCCAACATGTTGAGGCCCTTAGATTTCGATATTTTATTAAATAAGAACATCATCAACGATACAATGATGTATTTCTTCCGCAATACAATAACATGTTCAATAGAGTTTAAGATAATATTTATCTTCGCCTCATATTCCGCTCTTGCGAACAATGTATGTTTATTGTAGATGTAAAATTATTTTCCTCATTAATGTGAGATTTATTTTTAACACGACCCGCGTGTGGCGATTTTCAAGTCAAATGTCTAGACAATGCAGACAGGAGTAATGTGGAGCATGTGTCACCTTTGGACTTCCTCCATAGGACAACTTGCTCCTATATCATGAAAAAAAGTTGAGGTTCCCCATACTCAAAATTGCTTAATTTCTGAATCTTATTTGGAATGTCCTCTACACAAAACATCATTTGAACCAAATGTTGTTTGGTCATATAAAGATATTCAACAAATTGATAGCAAATTACATATTTATAATGAACTGCCAACTTATTTAAAACATTAATAACTAAATAATTTTTTTAAATGATAATGAAATAACAATTAAAAAAGTACACAATTTAAAATTATCAAATTTATACGATAAAAATACGATATTACCCAATGATTTTGTTTTTAATACATTGATATTTTACATTAAGGGGAATAAGATTTCGGTTAAGCCACACAATGAGTAACATAATCTAGTATCGAATTCGTCATCTATAAAATTCGAACCTAAAATTTCTCACTTTCAAATGAAAATGAAAATCATCAATCGATCAACCTAACTTAACTAGTAAGCAATTCGAAATGTTCCAATTGAATACAGCCATAGTTTGCTTCAATTGCGCGTAGGGGCGCGAATCTAGTAGTGGCTTCCTATTCCTTCCAACCGCACCTGACCGCCACGTCAATGAATGGCTTACGTCCATAACTAGTTACGAATAAATCAACGTGTCAAGCACCCTCTTGGCTTTTGGTATAATCACCATCATGTCAAGTGTATTTTATGCATCGTACCCCACGGATTTTGAATATTGACATAAATATTGATAATTGTTACTGCATTTTAAAATTATTATTTTTCACTGCAAAAATTTAATATTTGAAGGAAGAATATACTTGTAAAGGATGAACTTTTTTTTTTTAAAGTGTTAATAACAATTTTTTTAAATATATACCAAATAGTTTGCTCTATTTAGGTGAACTGACAAAAAAATAAAAAAAAAACCACTATAAGACTCGTTTACTTATTAGCAATGAGAAACTATGGAATCAGTTCACGTTGGAATGGGAAAGGCGAGGAAAGAGAATTGGATTAACAACTCCCCCTAGTTAATCAAACTGTTAAAATTGAGTTAATTCATTACGGGTTTTAAGTAATCTCATTACTGGTTATATATAAGTAAAGGCGGAAGAAGTCATGAACGGAATCCATTCCCTTTCTTTTCATTTTCATTACTAATAAGTAGACGAGCTCTGAGTATATTTAGATGTGAATGTGATGCGACAATCTCTAAAATAGTTCAACCATATATGTAACCATTTATTTCTTTTCTCCTTTTATCTACTAC